CCGAGCTGCGAGGCCGCCTTTTACGGAATACTCGATGACAGGTGATCTCTAAGTTGACCGGTTTCCTTCGATTCATTTGCTTATGTTCACCTTTCATTTACGGAAACGTGTGCTGATTTTATTCGGATTTAGATCCATTTTTATCTCCTTGCCCTTGTCTACAGTGTGCGAAGAACGCGAGTTCACCTTCTTGACGGTAAGGCTTATGTTAGGTGTGTTGTCGAAATACTCATATTCATTGCACATTGGTACGTTACAAGTAAGGCACTGGTCAGTGGCATACTATCGTTGGCAGTTCCCAATCTGGAGGGAAAGGTTCAAGTACCAATTGACCGAGTTTGCAAAATAAATTCGCATATCAGGGGAAATCTCTATTGTGGAGAGGTTCAGTAACTTGTTTGTTTCATACGAAACAAGCCAATGGGTGCAGTCTCGTGAAAATCTCGAACTTGTATGATTGGATTTGTTTACTCAAGTCTGGGCTGTTTGATTTGTGAGTACCGCCGAGATTGCACTGCCCCAAATAAAGTTTCGTGCCGCCAAAGCAAGAATTGCGATCTGCAATCTGTTTGTAGTACCTGTAAGAATGTGGAGTACATGGATCGTACTTTCTCTGTTGCTGTTTCAGTTGCCGTCATGTTGCTAAAGAAAGGTTCAGTAGAGAGGTTCTGCAAAACGAAAATTCGAACGAAGTTTCGCGACAGTCCTTGCGAAAGTGTGTGCGAATTTTTGCACGAACTTTGCGTTCTGCACATTTTCGTAGTTTGCGCGGGCCAAGTGCACGTACGCCATGACCCGATCTCACGAAATTTCCTACGACAGTTCATTTCGCGTTCCCTGCAAGTTTCGCACTTCATGATGTAGAGCGAAAGTTTGTACGCATTTCGTTTTGCAGAATCTCTCTAGTGACTCAATTGTTTCATACGAGACGAGTCAATGAGTCGGTGTGGCTAAGAATCTTTCGCTGTAGAAGAAATCTATTCGTATGTCTATTGGAGATATAATTGTGTTCTCTGGTTATAAAATAGGTTAAGCTCACAGAATAAATACCATCGTTCCCTTGGTGTTCGTCCTAAAGAGGTCCTAAAGAGGACTAGATATCATTCATACTCACCAAAAGATGTGTAAGACTTTATTATTGTGGAGTGCCTTGTTTATCTCTCAGTACCTCCAACCATAGCCTTGCCCCTTTTCTCCTCAGGATCAGTGTAGTTGTTGGAACGAGGTTTTGGACTCAGCAATGTATTCGTTTACATTTTAATACATGTTTATTGTTCCTCCTTTGCTGTGTTGTTTTAGACAATCGTGGACTAACAGTTTGAAGTCATTTAACTACTTCCAACAGTTGTATCGACAGGATTACGATTTCAGTTTCAATATGATGCTGGATGACCTCATCACGATAACCCATGACTATAAATCATTATAAACACAGAATCAACAAAAACATCTGCGACACGCACCTGGCGCGTGGCTACATTTCTCAAATAAATCTGATTGAGGGTGGAGAAATCTGAAAGGCAAGACAATTTCATGAAATTCTGCAACAGCAACATGCACAGAATGGCCTCCGTATAAAAAAGTATCACCACCACTGCTCACATGTTTCCCCGCAGAAGAACATGCATTATGCTAGTGCCATTTTCTGCAAGAAAAGGCTTGCACATCAATGCGTATAATATGGTATTGATATGATGTGAAGGCCATCATTTACATATTGATATAGGGCATTCCATTGATTGGTACATGGTGACAGAAAAAACAAAAGAAATTATAGCAATAAAAACTGCTTTATGGCAGTTTTCTAAAAAAGGTTATTGTGTTCTAGTCCATGGACCCCGTCTAAAAAGTAAGAAATTAACGAAATGTGATAGCTGAAAATTAAAATTTCACACAAAACCTCACAATAATCACACACAGAATGAAAAGCTACATGCAGAAGACATTTTCCCCTCGTGATCCTCTTTCCTATGCATGCATGTTGGCAATTGTTGGTGCAGTACAAGTTTAGTGTTGAAAGCAGCATTTCAAGTGTTGTGATTATTGTGAGGTTTTGTGTGAAATTTTAATTTTCAGCTATCACATTTCGTTAATTTCTTACTTTTTAGACGGGGTCCATGGACTAGAACACAATAACCTTTTTTAGAAAACTGCCATAAAGCAGTTTTTATTGCTATAATGTAGAATGGAACTTGCGGTGGACTAACAAACGGCAATGACAAGACTTGTCTATATGGCGAAACGTACATCATGTGACACTACTTGAAGTACGTGTACTTACAAGTTACATACTTTAAAGTCTTTATAGGCTGTGTTTATATATGAGGCATTTCAACCAGAGTTGAGTTCGACCCGGGTCAAGTTTCAACCCGCCATTAACACAGATTGCCTGGCGCGTTTACATGACGCATTGCGCTTGACCCGGGTGGAAATTTTGCCCCGGGTTGAAATCGAGAAATCGTACTAACGTACTTCTGTGCGTATTTGGCGCCAGCTTTGAACAGCACTAGCACTAGCACTGCGCAGGAAAATTCCGCACGGAAGTATTCATGTGACCATACAGGACTCTAGAAGTGGACTTTTGGCGGCATATCAGTATTTGACCTGGGTCAACCGTGTCCTTATGTTAACACCCACCTATTTTTCCATCGTACAGACTTTCAACCCGGGCTGAACTCGAGCCGGGTTGAAAATTCTCACGTAAACACAGCCTTACAAGTAGTAGTGTCACACAACGTACATTTCGCGGTATAGATGCTGACCGCTCATCAGGCCTGCAGATTAAACTCGGATGGAGAGCCAAGGATTAAAAATTTACTGAAAGAGAGGCAAGAATGGACTCGGGTGGAGAGCCAAGGAACAATGTTATCGCATGAGCTGATCACTTTAAAATAGTAACTGGTGGTGATAGTGGACATTATAGTGTAACTTGTAGTTCCTTGGTCCTTTTTCCGAAGTTCTGAAAGAGAGGCTCAAAAATTTACAAGATATCCATCATCGGAAGTGTTTGTTCAGCACTAACAAGCAGGATACTTTGTATAACTTGTAAACTTTTGGCCTTACAAGTAGTAGTAGTGTCTCTCTTTTCATTTTAATCCTTGGCTCTCCATCCGAGTCCTAAATCGGCAAAGATATTTCCTAATTTTTTTGAGAAGATGAAATAACAATTATTGATAATGATACATCTGCAGACTCTGCACACATGCACAATGCGGATACATGTCACGGCTGTCCTAAATGACAGTTGTACTGTCGAAAACAGCAGGTGAAGGTGGTCTGTCCTTTGCACCCTAGTGGGCATGGCAATGGGTGTAATCACGGACCCGTGCTCAGTTGTAGACCACTAATTACAGCTTCACCCCAGACAAATGTGCCTTTATGAACCCTCTAGTACTGACTATCGACTGCATTTTCATTGAATGGCATGAAAAACACAAACATCGGAAAATGAGTAGGGTATGCGAGTGGGATATCAAAAGACACAACGCGCCGTATACATGCACACTGCATAGTTGGTTGCAGCGTAGTCTACGTCCTAGGTACGGGTAACTCCTACTTAGTCCTTGAGAAATGCACCCTATCATGCCTATGCAGCCAAGGCTCCTGACACACAACGTCAGCATATCCTCACAATGGAGGTATTTTGGACAACTAGTACTACAGGTAGACTGACTCACGAAACAACACTGAGCAAACTGTTCACAAAGAAGTAACTTCCTGTTCGCTTCTGACACCACTTGATTTCACATCAATTACTTTTGCCGTTTTGATTTCACATCAATTACTTTTGCCGTTGCAAAAATAAGGTAGTACAATCATGTCATTCGGATTTCTTTTGAAAATCGAATTTGATAACTGTAGGCGGTATATTACTATAGACGATTATAGACGATTATTACAATACGCGGTAACTGTGTATACTATAGTTATGGCAAATGAAAATGAATTTGAGAAGTAACGTTAGTTGATCACTATAGCTAGCCGCTACATTACTAGTATAGCCGCTTCATTACCATAGCCGCTACATTACCATAGCCGCTACATTACTATCCGTCAACCTAGTAGGCGATACGTAGATCTACTGTACTACTAGCATCTATAATCTACTCATGTCGCCGCTATGTGAGTATGTCCAATGCTTCATGACTGTTTATGTTTATGTCCGACAGTCGCCAACGACGAGCTCAGCTTTACGTCTCTGCAGACAAAGTGTAGTTGTGCAACGACGAGCTCAGCTTTACGTCTCTGCATACATAGTGTAGTTGTGCAACGACGAGCTCAGCTTTACGTCTCTGCAGACATAGTGTAGTTGTGCAACGACGAGCTCAGCTTTACGTCTCTGCATACATAGTGTAGTTGTGCAACGACGAGCTCAGCTTTACGTCTCTGCAGACATAGTGTAGTTGTGCAACGACGAGCTCAGCTTTACGTCTCTGCATACATAGTGTAGTTGTGCAACGACGAGCTCAGCTTTACGTCTCTGCAGACATAGTGTAGTTGTGCAACGACGAGCTCAGCTTTACGTCTCTGCATACATAGTGTAGTTGTGCAACGACGAGCTCAGCTTTACGTCTCTGCAGACATAGTGTAGTTGTGCAACGACGAGCTCAGCTTTACGTCTCTGCAGACATAGTGTAGTTGTGCAACGACGAGCTCAGCTTTACGTCTCTGCAGACATAGTGTAGTTGTGCAACGACGAGCTCAGCTTTACGTCTCTGCAGACATAGTGTAGTTGTGCAACGACGAGCTCAGCTTTACGTCTCTGCAGACATAGTGTAGTTGTCTGTTGTGCAAATCTTCGTCGTAAATCAACTACTTACTTACTTATCCCCACCAATGATACACCCATGCCATGGTCCGTCCTTCCACGGAGTCTCCCTCACGTCAGATTCAGAACATGGGCCTTCTTTCAGCTGTGACCACTGGAAGTCCCCAGTAGCATCGCCTGACGTAAGATTCTTATCTCTGGCGCCTGAAACTAAGTACTTATTCAGAGTCAGTCCAGTTGAGCTGAGCGGAGCGCGGAGAGCTAGAGCGCGACTTACTTAGTCATAAGCCTACGACCTAAACTAAGGCTAAAGTGAGTCCTTGAATAGGCGATAACACTCTACCTGACCACGTGCTCGGCGTGTATCGCCGCCGAAAAGCCAGCGAAACGAACGTTTTGTTGATTTGTCGCTCATACTGTCATAGCAGCACTTGGACAAATAATTTCGAGCGATAGCTCTTCTCTCGGTTTCAAGCTGTTGTTCACCAAAGTGGCAAAGAGAGTAAGAGCGAGTGAGACTGGAGAATCATACTGTGACGACCGTCGCTAGTGCTCTGCAGCTGCTGATGATTCTCTTCGTATTCGGACGAAAATTGTACGGCAGTCACCACAAGCTAGCTAGAGTTGTGACTGTGAGATTTACAGCAGATCTACATAAGTCATTGTAACTCGCATTCGTTAGGTCGGACTGGGATCAGGCAGCAGGTGTAAGTGCTAGGCGCAGTGACGCGCGTGAATGTGTTACCTCATTCGGGTACCCACTTATAGCTTTGCTGGAGTGTAAAAACAGCGATGAGAGGAGACGATGACAGAGCATCATCCGGCTCCTACGGATATCGGACATTGATGCCTCGAATGAGCATACGCAAAGATGACGATTGCTGCACTGGTCGATGCTGCAAAGCCAGTTGCTTGATCGTGACTTCGGTGCTAGTCTTCGCGGTGGGACTAACGGTTATCATCGACTTGCCGGATTACATCAACCATGAGCTGAAGCAGGTAATGAATGACTGCCCTGGGCAGGGTTGCATTAGTCTATTACTGGAGAAGGAATGATAAACCCTTTACTGGCTTTAGAGCAGGGGCGTAGCAGCCGACACAATGCCAAAAGTGCCCAGAATGCAGGATTTTGCACCCTAATTTCAAAATTTCCCCCCCCCCTCCTCCGGCCGAACCTCCTCCAACGGCGGTGTTACGCGCCTGTAGAGGTATTCCATTCGGCCATGCCATGCCATGCCGTTGGCGTCTGTCCTCCACACATCGTCATCTACAGAATTACAGTCAAACCTCTTTAGGACGAACACTCGGCAAGGGACCGATGATATTTGTTCGCAATAACGGGAGTTCTTCTTATCCGTATGTTATACCCAATGAATACACAGTGGTTTATCCAATGGAGTTACGAATACTAGTTCTTCTTAAGCAAACATTTGTCTTATCAGTGACAGTGTTCTTCCTAACCAGGTTTCACTGTACGTCCCAATCGTCCCAGTCATCACTCCCCTCTCTGTACAAACTCATCACTCCCCTCTCTGTACAAACTCATCACTCCCCTCTCTGTACAAACTCATCACTCCCCTCTCTGTACAAACTCATCACTCCCCTCTCTGTACAAACCTTCCTTTCATGCTGTCTCATTTTGCCCCGAGATTTTTTGTTGCATAGTGACCTTACGCTCCTCATTCGCTCCCTTGTCACTAGACAGTTCTGACCGTTTGGTTTTGCAAATTCAAATAAAGAAAACAGCCACAACAACAACATCCCATCTTTACACATTGAACACCTAACCATTATGTTCATTTTTAATTTTAAAAGCAGTGATTACTACTCCCAAACACCCTGCAATGAGCAGCCAATCACAAATGGTACAGGTGGGTTGGTCACGTAGTGGGAGGACAAGGCTAAAACCAGTGGCAGACCAGACAGACAGACTCATAGTTCTTCTTGGTATGAAAAGGCTAGGTAAGGCATGGTTTTAATTTTAAAACGATTTACTCAATCTGCGATTTAAAAACACAATGTCACGATACTCCAGGAAACAAGAGAGCTATATGATTCATGTACCCTTTAATACTTTGCTTGCCAAATTGTCGCCGTGAAGAAATACATCAACAGATTCAACACAACGGCAGACTACTCCGCACCAATACAGTCACAGCATATAGGGTGGTGAGCTGGTGGGAGCGTCAATCAATCCCTAATGTCGGTACTCCCTGTGCTCGATTTAAGCCGGTCACGTTCCTAGGCGCATCGTCACACCTCCTATTGTCATCTGTCTGGGCACTCATGGCCAGTTGGGCAGCCGGCTAGTCCCCGGGGAGCTGCCCAGCGGCAGCCTGGCAACGGGCGGTGGAACTCTGCCAGTGCAGCCTTTGCTTGAGCTTACTTTCGAAACTACCTTCGCTACGAAATGAAGATCATCGGTGAAGCCATAGTTGAGCTGCATTCGCCACCTAAGCTAAGGTGACGCCACGGTGCCCATTGTAGAGAGATCGGCAACGTGATACTTGTACTAGTAAGTCAATGCTACCGCCTACCGGCACCAAATAGCAGAGGCACAACCGCGGTGATATAAATTTATTTTATCACAATCATCATCAGAGTCCTCATCGTCACCAGCACTTGCATTTTCACACACCAACCCACGATTACTTCGTGTCTTGTGGGTCACAGTGTAGCATTGCGGTGTGTAATTTTAAAACTGCAATTTTGGTGTGTTATTTGTCTATGCAGACATTGGAAGTATGCGAGGGCTGTACCAGTTATTCAACGTGGCTGGCACCAACCGAGCCAGTCTACATGTCCTTCTTTGTCTTCAACGTCACTAACCCTGATGATGTGCTTGACGGAGACCGGCCCAATGTTGAGACATTCGGTCCTTTCACGTATCAGTGAGTAATTTATCTGGTTTTGTTCTCCATTCCACTGCACTCCTCCTCCTCTTCCTGTGTCCTCACCCAGCCACACCGGCACACACACACACACACGCACACACACACACACACACACACACACACACGTGACACACACACACACACACCTCAGACCTGCCCATCGCGGAAGCGATGATAGCGAACAGCTATGTTAGACATAAAGTAGCAACTTGTGCTGGGATTACACCATTCAACAGCTTGCAAGGCTGATGAATTGACCGCCACTAATTTTAGCCTGGTATCCACCACACAGCTGATTGAAGAACACACACACACACACACACACACACACACACACACACACACACACACACACACACACACACACACACACACACACACACACACACCGGCACACACCATGTACCATGTATACGCCCGTCGCAAGAGAAGCACGCAAATCTGCAAATGCACTGGATGTGCACCCACAGATTTTCTCTTATAGCAACGATAGCGGACAAGATCTGAATGAGACAGATCAAGACTTGCGCCAGATAACTGTCTAATCCACACAACTGGCGAAGTCATGTGAATCGACCACCAATGCACACCTGGTCTACACCACACGGAGTACATCGGCATAAATTGGCCAAGACAGTTACCTATGCACACCCTACACTTGCTGGGGTAACCAGTATAGACAGCACGCTGCTTTGATAGAAGCAGACACTAGATGCACTGGTACCTTGAAGTGAATGGAGTTACTTTACCAACCAGCCTCGGCTACTGAGTGACTGGGAACCCAGAGCCAACAGACATACCAACAACCTCAGCCATGAAAGCTATTATAGTAACGACACACTGGACACCGGCACACACACACACACACACACACACACACACACACACACACACACACACACACACACACACACACACACACACACACACACACACACACACACACACACACACACACACACACACACACACACACACACACACACACACATGCACCCCCCTTCACTGAAGAGTACACCTCTCACGGTGCTGGTTCTTTGCTACACTGAGTTGTGTGAAAATGGCAACAGGCCTATCCGACCATGTTGTACTCCATGCATGTGGAGCAATGAAGATTTGCACGACTTTGTGAAAACTAGCTCAGCAGTCACATCGCATTGGTTGCAGGTGCGTACAACCGTGCATGCAAAACACCGGCAAAGTTACTGGAGTACGCACCTGCAGCCCGGGAATGCTGTGTGCGGCGATGATGCCTGACAAATTTTCCCCGGCGTTACTGATTTCTTACTGTGGCGCTGCAGGGAGCTGAGACCGCGCAAGAATGTCACATTCATGAAGAACGGCACCGTCAAGTGGATACAACCGAAAACCTACATCCCATTGAACACGTCATTTGCAGATCCTAACACATTCGAAGTGTGTACAATCAATTTCCCGATCATGGTAAGGACATCCGATTCAAGATGAAGTTTCAGCATCAGTATATAGATGTGTTGAATGGCTCGTGATTCAGTTGTCACAACTGGCTATGGTGCATGGCTAACATTCTAACCACCTTGAGACAATATGCCTGGTTGAGTGACTGCATCACAGAAGAACCGTGGTACGGTGCACAATCAGTACGTACATTGTTGTATATCATGTGACTAGTGCATGCTATACGTTGCATTGCTGGCCCGGGACTAACAGTTACATGTGCATGTACAATCATTGTACATACAGCATGGTCACAGTCTAGCCAAATGGGGTGGCACGGTGCCCTGCTGCTCATATTGAGCTGTGAAAAGGTGCCCTGGGCCACTAATTTGTCGATTTCTGTGCTTTTCATGCCATTCAACGAGAATACAGCAGGTAGTCACAACTAGAGGGTCCATAAAAGCACGCTTGTCTGGGATGAAGTCAGGGGTGAAGTCCCGTACGTTGCATTTTGCAAGACAATTTTGAAAAATGGAAAAAAGGGTTAGGGTAACTGTTCCCTATGCCCCCCCCCCCCCCTGCTATTTGACCTAGCTAGAAGTTAGAACCCTGAATACAGTGGTGGGGAATGAAATCCAACCCCATCAACCTCACAGAACAAGGAATGCTCTGTCCTAGCGAGTACTGTGAGCATCACCAAGAGCCTTGCACCATGCATAAATAGAAGCCTTCGGTCCACAGACTCCTCTCTGCTACAGTCATAAGGTTGTCAGTATTTGGCACCACTCTACAAGGCATACTGTCAGTACTCGGTCTAGAGAAATGCAAGACTCTGACTCGAGGAATATTCCGGAAGTTGATATCGTTCGCTCTCTGTCTGTCCGACTGTCCGTCCGTCTGTCCGTCCGTCCGTCCGTCTGTCCGTCCGTCCGTCCGTCCGTCCGTCTGTCCGTCCGTCCATCCGTCTGCCCGTCCGTCCGTCTGTGTGCCTCATTTGTTTTCTGTGTGATATTGTGTGCATTCAGTTTCTCGGATCCATGTTGGATCCTCTTCTAGCCAAGCTCGCTATCTTACCAAAGAAAGTGCAGAAATTGGTGCTAGAACTTCCCAAGATCCTCGCTGCACTCTCCGGAGAAGATACCATTATCTGCCGGACAGTGAACGAAATCCTTTGGGGTCTGTATGACCCTGTGTTTGAGCGTATCCGCTGGGCATGCTTGAATGAGGGACAGGCGCTATACAACACCGCTCATGACATCCTGGACAATGTGTTACGCAACGCTATACTGTTTATAGCCAATGGCCTCTTGTCCGTAGGCAACTTGATTCCGGAAGGTGGCATCATATCCTTGCAGGTATTTATTGTGTGCAGTACTAGTAACCCACGCACCCAGACACCCATGCACCCGTACCCCATGCACCCATGCACCTATACACCCATATACCCATGTACCCATGCACCCATAAACCCATGCGCCCACAGACTAGACCCATGCACCAATACGCCCATATATGCATACACCCATGCACCCCGCATGCATCAATGCATGTGTGCAGTAACCCTATGCCCGCCGGAACCAGTCCGGTTGGTCAGGTCATCACTGGACCAACGCTTTGGCCAGCAACGCATGTACATGTACACTGCTGAGGAGGTCATGTGTACCCGCCGCATCATGAACAAGGTGAGAAAGCCTATGGTATGGCCGGACCAGTCAAAAACCGTTTTCCGGCAGCCCTGAACCCACACACCCTTGCACCAATGCACGTGTGTGCATTTTGACATTGAAATAGGCGAAGCACACATGCACACAGAGGCAATATGTACTTCCCATGTGTTTATTCCCGAAACTTGCATTTTCAAATGCTGGGAAACCAGGGGGCAAATTTCGCTTACCGTGCTTTATCAATACTGTATCAATACTGTATGCATCATAAACTAACATTTTCATAGAGTGCCGGCATTTGGAAGAGCAGAAGAAGCTGAACCACTATAGATATGAGACTCTGATACAGTGCACACAGCAGAGCACGGTGTACCTGGGTCACCTAATGATATGGCCACACATTATTAGCCAGCTCAATGTTCTCATGTGGAGTTCACTGCCGCTCAAAGACTTTATCAAAAAGTAAATGAGTTGGTACCTGGAACATACTTGTCATATGACCTACGGTCTGAACGCGCTCAACCACCCTACCTCTAAAATATGAACACAACTGACTGGGTCCATGTGATGGGAGTGCTTTCAAGATACGGCATAGTACTACATGACTTTGTACAGTAGTAGCCATTCAAGGTGTGACACATCCATTACGTCACAGTCACTATTATATTAAACACTGCCCATTCCGGTGTGCATATTGACACCCGCAGATTGAGACGTTCTATAATGTGTACGTAATTGTATGTGATGCACACTACCTGTGACTATTGCGGCAGGTGAATGGATCAGATGATGGTACATGGGCCACATACACTGGTGAGACCGACATGCAGCTAATCAACACACTGGATCTGTACAACAACTCCAGGTCAGTGCAGACAATACAGTCATCATGATTTACATCGATCGCTGAAGTATATTTTGTAGTCCATAGGCCCGGCGGAACTGGTCCATTTGGTCAGGCCATGGCCAGACCCAATTTTTGGCCAACAACGTGTGTTTACGGCTGAGGTCATGTGGACCCTCCATATCATACCATGACAAAGTATGAAAGGCTAGGGGGTATGGCCGGATCAATGGAAAACTGCTTCCACGGCTCCTGGACTACTGCGACATGTACAGTACTGTCGGGCGCAGAAGAACGAAGCGCCGAATAGCGGCCAGGCTAGAATTTTACCAAGCACAGCATGACTCAACTGTGCAGCGACTGTAGCACATGAAAATAAGAATGGTCTACTGAGGCTGGGAGGCTGACCTCCTGTTCTTCGGCGACCAACAAAACTGTGTTATGCGATTTGGCACAGCTGTGCTCCAGTTGTGTGTTTGCCGTACTCTGATCTCTGTTTACCCGTGTTGAGGTCAGTGTGTATACGTTCTAGTTACGTTCACACGTGTGTGTTTGTGGATGTGTACATGTGCACAGGTATGTGCCATGGTGGAAGACCGACACCTGTAACATGGTCAATGGAACTGGTAAGCCATTTAAAAAAAATCTTTGTCGCAAGAAATCGTCCAATGCGACACGTCTCACTTGTATCAGCCGAACTGTCACACCGCTAATGACCATTGCGCCATAATACCTATGTAGCTTAATTAACATGCATCCTTATAATTATTGCATCTTTTTCGCAGATGGCACTCAATTCCATCCGCACGTCAAGAAGACAGACATGCTCTTCAGCTTTGTGACGGATATGTGTCGGTAAGCTAAGTCAGACTGGTGGGTTTGCATGTACCCCTCCGAAGGATTGGAAATATTTCTTTAGAAGAGTGTTTAGCTTATGTATAGTGGGAAAGGAAGAGGGGCTGTGGTGAGAATCTCTCTTGTTGGCAAGTGCTAACGTTAGAGATTGTATAAGTTGTCATTGGGGCAAAGCAATCAGTCCAGGTTGTGGAGTGAGTCATCGCTGTGCTGTGTATGCCCATACAATGTGGAATGCAATGAGATGTCAGTAGTGTAGTGTACATCCAGTGCGACAAGCAGTTGAGAACAGCTGTGTGTTGCGTATTGAATGCCACTGCAGGTCCATCTATCTCATTTACAACGGCACAGTGGAGTTGAAGGGCATTGAGTTGAGTCGCTTCACACCGCCACCGGCTCTGTTTGACAACGGCACCGTGTTTGAGTATCTGAAAGGTTTCTGTAACCCTCGCTGCTGGCCTTCAGGGACACAGGATATCAGTCTCTGCAAAGGAGGTAGGCGTGTACTAAAGTCAACCAACTAAGCATGGATAGGTGATGTGGATACGCCACTGTTATAACACGTTATTAGAGCCATGCATACTAGTAGTGAGGCGGACATTGAACATAGCAAGATAATAATGACCATTACAAATTGTACTGTTTTGAATGAATTTAGAAGCTTCCTAATCAGTGCTTTACTAGAGAAAGGGGGGGGGGGGGGCTAAGAGCGGTTTTGAAATTGCATGGGATGGCTAGTCACGTGTAATATAAATAAGGGGTAAAGTTTGCACAACCATTTCCCTACTTGCCGTTGTGTTTGACCATGACCGCTGATTGTAGTGTAGTCCACACGAGTTGGAGGAGTTTGCAGCTGTGTAGGAGTCATTGTCAGGCCACCGTGCCTCGCACTCAAGCTCAGCACAAGCAGTGCAGCTGGGTTGCAGTCCGGAGGCCTTGCTACAGTTGCTAATGCTGCTGCTGCCAGAGTCTACTGCGAATTTCATGCATGGCTGTGCTTCTGCATCATCAGTAATACTGGCAACAGCAGCAGCGTTAGAAACGGTACACGTCACTGCTATCGCCATAGTGACAATAATGACCATGTGACTTGTGGTTCCCTGTCGGTGTGCTATGTGCGCTATGATCACAGGTCTACCGATCATGGCGTCATCACCTCACTTCCTCTATGCTGATCCGGTCTATCTGGAGAACGTCACTGGGATGAATCCTAACTTTCAGGACCATGCCACTATCGTCGATATAGAGCCGGTTAGATTGTTTCTTTGAAATGTCTGCAAATTCTTATAATATCCATGTACTGTCACAAGCAATTGCCACCCAACTCAATCAGCATAAAATAAGTTGGTCTGAGAGGCATGATTGATGCACTACAAAATCCACATGATTGTCCAAGAGTATGTAAACCGGATTGTGCAGCTCAGTACCTGCCAGGGAAAGTGTGAATACATGTTGTCGATGACAAACTTAACGTGTCGTCTTGACAGCAATGTACAGTAAAAAATGCAATGATGATGTCATAGGTCATACTAGTGCAGTACGCGGTGCATCGCTACAGTGTAGCAGCAGTCGTGGCTCCCATGACCCATCAAGAATGATGTGAATGTCTGGAATTTACATGTGAAGTTGCACACTCTGGTTTCTGCACTCTTGGTGTGATCGTTGCTCCTCCTTGTTTGAATGTCTGGATTCAGATGACTGGGCTGATGTTGCGAGGCAACAAGAGACTGCAAATCAACGTCCGTGTTTCCAACATATCTTTCCTGCCGTAAGTGCCAGCTGTAATCTTTCTGTGCACTGATCACCATGTATGTGCATGCATCATGAGTGACATAACTACTTTGTATGCGTGAGTGTGCAGTGTGTACAAGCAATGGTATAACCAAGAGTAGATAAACAAGAGTGTGCAACTCCAGCTATGGGGTCTGCGACGGCAGAACTTCACATCACGTGATGAACCCGTGCACTCTAGTGCATGATAGATACTGGGTTGTACGCAGCCCAGCTTTGGGTACAACTCTCTTGTGGTCACTTTGCACTGTTTGCCAGCATAACCTTTTGAACCATGTCACGTGATGTGAAGTTCTGCCGTCGCAGCACAGCATAGAGGTTGTGCAGGCAGTTGCACACTCTTGGGTTATGTACTCTTGGTATAACTCATGGCATGTATGGTGTACAGCAAGTCCCAGTGATCACATGGTGTTGTATGTTGCCCATTCCGCATCTACGAGTGCAGTAATCGTCTGCGATAAAGAACCACCTCGGAAACTAGTATAATGTCATACTGAAAATACTAACGGGGTAAGTAGGGTGCGCATGTGATCTTAGACTGACTACATCCACAGAAATAGGAAGAATTACACTGAACACTGAATATGTAGTAAGTGGGACGCATTTGAAATGACTGGGTTGTTGTCCCGTTTGAATGTGCAAAGTAGAACAAGTCAATGCATGAATGAATTTTGTTCATCTCTCTCGTCCTAATAGGGGAGGCTATGCACTACGAGAATGCTTTCTACCATTGTTCTATGCCAACGAGGTAAGAGACAGAAGATCAATCCATGTGTGCACCTGTGCATGCAGAACACAAGGTTTGCCAAGAATGGAAACACACTCCATGACTAGTATAGGGCAGCTGAGGCTTTGAAAGTGGTATACAGGTACCTGCGCTGGTTGAAGACACATACCAACCCCTCATGCAGCTCCTTTCATTGAGTAGTTAGTAGTCTATTGTGAGGCTTGTCAAAGCATGGACTAGGACTGGAGTCTTCACACCACTATTTTATGACAGCGATAGGGATAATAATTTGGTGCAGGTCATCAACTGCAGTGTTATGGCATTGATAATGGACATACGGCATACCTGTGTTGGGTATTGCTATGAATGAGTCCAGCGTAGTGCAGCGAGTAGATACTGACAACTCTGGACCTGTATGTGCATGTATGTGGGTGTGCACACGGGCATGTCTGTACACATGTGTGTCGACTTGCAGTCAGCCGTTGTGTCGGATGCTCATGCAGCCAAACTGCGCAACACACTCAAGCCACTGAGCATCATAAAGATTCTGCAATGGTGCTTCCTCGCAGTAGGAATTGTTGTATTTACTCCGACGGTGATCTACAATGTACGGCGATATCGCCGGGAAAACGAGGTGAGCTTTGAACAGGAGAAGACTGTAAATGGTACCTCGTACACCGCTGCCGTGTACATGTCATGTTGGCAGTGCTGTTTCTGTGTGTGTGTGGGGGGGGGGGGGGGGGGAGAGGAGGAGAAGGGGAATACCCACCGCGAGTGTGATGGACTTGATATGTATGAGCCCATTACTTTGGAGCCAATCTTTACCAGCAACCAGGTCCAATGCATTCGCGGCATATCGGATCTGGCAATACTACTTCCATTATACTCAAATTGACAGGTGTAGAGCATAGAACACTTTCGTGCAGGCAAAGTGCCCACGAGTTTCACACCTCACTCAAGTGCATGCAGCGCACCCTGCACTGCCACTTCTTTTGACTGCATGCCCTCTCTTCTGAGCCCACTTCAACCCTGCTGTTGCAGTCAAGCCTGCCAGCCAGGATAGCACTTTTGGCCGCTGTATGCAGGTCAGATATGGCACTTGCTACACTAAAAGCCGGTCGCTGGTCGCGCAAGGGATGTGGTCGCTGTATCCGGTGCAGTTTCTGTGTGGAACTGTCTGTCCATGGAAAAATGGTCGTTGAAAGCAGGTGGTTGCTAAAACCAGGGATGGCTTAATTAAACCAGGTTTTACTGTATTGCCATACAATGTGACTGGATTCTTCCTGAACCCCCCCCCCCCGCACTGGCCCGCAGCCTGTTGCCGTAACATGTGACTGAATCCTTCCTTCCTTCCGCCCCGTGCAGGCTATTGACGTACCAGAAGGGCAGTGCACAGAGAATGTACCACTGCTCAACTAACACACGCTCATGAACATTGGGACGGCATGGACAGAACGTCTGCCCGACGTGTACCCGGTCCTGATCTACATTCGGATGCACAAGGCACCTAAGAACATTAGGAGGTGTGTCCGTGCAGGCATATCATCCAGCGTTGTCAACTTATACTGCTAGCCTACTTACAATGGAACTGGTCGCTCAGCATGCATTGTACCAAGATTCTGATAGTTTCTCCCGGTAGTGTTACATGTGCCAGCAATGGCTACATTGTATGTACACGGGAAGCAGAGTCGAGATTACTGAAGGGTTTCTGATAACACACTGTATTAAATCAACGCAGCAGTTTGCCAGCATCAGATTGTGTGTCCGCGGACATTCTTGATATGAAACGTTTTATAAAAGAAAGTGAAGAATTCTGAGAGTACGCCTACTTTATCTAGTAATATCTACAGAATATCCAGCAAAGGCATTCCATGTTGCACAATTTTCAAATTTTTCTTCCTCATTGTTAATTAACAGCAAGCTTTCGCTGCTGTCACTGCTTTCACACAGCAGTATCTTCACTATGTTTGCTGGGAATGATCTCACATTTGATCTTTTAGTACTTTATTACAATTTGATTCCTTTTCGGGCGTGTTCCCAAATCAGATGTCATCGTCATCCATGTCAGCGTCCATGCTGGTTTCAAACGTTACCGGCACAGGTGCAGGCGACTTGACGACAGGGTCGAATGTCCACTTGGGGAAGATGCGCTTGTAGAGGCTCATGCAGACTGTGTCCTGTGCCTTCAGTGACCGATTGAACACACACTTCATGTGTCCATGGGTACCTGTAGAGTCAAACACAGAGCAACAATTGCACACGTCTTCTAAAACATGAATACAACTAGGGGTGTCATCGGGTAGTAGGGCACCCGTGCTACCCGTAATGAGAGCGGGTAGTCTGCTAGCAGTTTGTGCCTGAGAACTCGATCGGGTAGTCGGAGTACGGTATCGTCGCAAAGGTGCATGTAAGAAGCACAGCTACATGCTTTAATACTGTACAATTCTCTATGATTGTAGTGGGAGTGCACAGTCACTGTACAATTCTCTATGATTGTAGTGGGAGTGCACAGTCACTGTACAATTCTCTATGATTGTAGTGGGAGTGCACAGTCACTGTACAATTCTCTATGATTGTAGTGGGAGTGCACAGTCACTGTACAATTCTCTATGATTGTAGTGGGAGTGCACAGTCACTGTACAATTCTCTATGATTGTAGTGGGAGTGCACAGTCACTGTACAATTCTCTATGATTGTAGTGGGAGTGCACAGTCACTGTACAATTCTCTATGATTGTAGTGGGAGTGCACAGTCACTGTACAATTCTCTATGATTGTAGTGGGAGTGCACAGTCACTGTACAATTCTCTATGATTGTAGTGGGAGTGCACAGTCACTGTACAATTCTCTATGATTGTAGTGGGAGTGCACAGTCACTGTACAATTCTCTATGATTGTAGTGGGAGTGCACAGTCACTGTACAATTCTCTATGATTGTAGTGGGAGTGCACAGTCACTGTACAATTCTCTATGATTGTAGTGGGAGTGCACAGTCACTGTACAATTCTCTATGATTGTAGTGGGAGTGCACAGTCACTGTACAATTCTCTATGATTGTAGTGGGAGTGCACAGTCACTGTACAATTCTCTATGATTGTAGTGGGAGTGCACAGTCACTGTACAATTCTCTATGATTGTAGTGGGAGTGCACAGTCACTGTACAATTCTCTATGATTGTAGTGGGAGTGCACAGTCACTGTACAATTCTCTATGATTGTAGTGGGAGTGCACAGTCACTGTACAATTCTCTATGATTGTAGTGGGAGTGCACAGTCACTGTACAATTCTCTATGATTGTAGTGGGAGTGCACAGTCACTGTACAATTCTCTATGATTGTAGTGGGAGTGCACAGTCACTGTACAATTCTCTATGATTGTAGTGGGAGTGCACAGTCACTGTACAATTCTCTATGATTGTAGTGGGAGTGCACAGTCACTGTACAATTCTCTATGATTGTAGTGGGAGTGCACAGTCACTGTACAATTCTCTATGATTGTAGTGGGAGTGCACAGTCACTGTACAATTCTCTATGATTGTAGTGGGAGTGCACAGTCACTGTACAATTCTCTATGATTGTAGTGGGAGTGCACAGTCACTGTACAATTCTCTATGATTGTAGTGGGAGTGCACAGTCACTGTACAATTCTCTATGATTGTAGTGGGAGTGCACAGTCACTGTACAATTCTCTATGATTGTAGTGGGAGTGCACAGTCACTGTACAATTCTCTATGATTGTAGTGGGAGTGCACAGTCACTGTACAATTCTCTATGATTGTAGTGGGAGTGCACAGTCACTGTACAATTCTCTATGATTGTAGTGGGAGTGCACAGTCACTGTACAATTCTCTATGATTGTAGTGGGAGTGCACAGTCACTGTACAAACGCATTGTGGCGATCCTGCTCAAGCAATGCCGTGTACCAATGTTCTCGTACTACAAGGTTAAAAAATACCCGATGTTACCCATGCTACCCGGATAAAATACCCGAACTCGTATCCCGATCAAACCCTTACCCATTGCAGCCCTAAATAAAACAATACTCTCATCCACCAGTTGAAGGGAGATGACATTGAAAGGGAAAAGAAAAAAATGATGCACCCATGCGCTTGGTTGCTTAGTGGTTTTGGCCCGCGTATGTAATTATGTAGTCATCCGTGTCACCTACACTGAACATGCAGTGCATTTATAATTCACCACAGTCAAGTGCAGTTCACCTGCCGAATATGGGACGTTCAATGGATAAGGTAGATGAGGTGTGATGACCCAAGAACGGCAGACGGAGAGGAAGAGAAGAGAGAGAGAGAGGAGATGATAGATGCAAGTAGTAGGGGATGCTCCTAAGTCCTATGCAACTGTACAGGTATACACACACTCACACACGCGCACACACACACACACACACAAACACACACAGAGGAAAGGTTACAGAAGATGTACGAGTGAAAGGCAAGGAGGGGCTCACCAAGTGGTTCTTTGATATGTCCACGGCGGCCGTGCTTTGACCACAATTCCACCGCCTTGAAAAAGAGAATATCCTCTGCAGCACACATGGTTCACAAGTAACACACATGAAGGCAGCATTGATTAGTGTGTTTGGACTGTACAAGCATTACACTACTATAATACCCTCCATTGAGTCTGGAGTTGCGACCCAGGCATGTGGAGGTAAGTATTCGGCTCATCAGGAGTGCCATACCCAGGCATGATGCCGGTACATGTACAGTACATGCTGTAAGTACCGGCATTTCAAAGCCTGTTGCCTAGTAACTGTAGTGAGAAAGCTGCTGCATGGTTCATGAAAGCTACCCAAGGCCCCGTCATTGGCAAATCAAGCTCTATACCTACAGTCCACTCACCAAACCTGGGCACATACACACATTTTCGGCGCATGTTTATTTTCGGCTATTTTCTGCCTGATCATATTTGGCCGAAAATTTATTGCAGCCGAAATTTTGTTTTGCAATGTTCAGTGTGACAGTGTATACAGGCAGAAGCAGTACAGGCCGAAAATTTGTTGCAGCCAAAATGTGTTTTAGACCTGGGAGGCCGAAATTTGAATGGGCCGAAATTGTGTCGACATACAGTAGGTCAGAAATATGATAGCTGAAGTCAATGCAGTGAAAATTTATCAAGATAATGTATGTACAAAAGTATTTTTTCAGGCACATAATTATAGTGCATCGGGGCCCCCGATTTGGCGAATGGACTGTAGGTTACAAGAAAACTGATATATTTACCTCGGTCAAAAAACATGTAGCGAATCGTTGCCACGCGGCGATTGATTTTGAACGGATGCCCGCTAACCACAGCCTTCTGAATGACAAGACGGTTCGGGTTAACATTGAGCAGTGAGCCAGTGCCAACAAGAACATGTTGACCTGTAGATAGTACAGACACATATACACACGCACACACCGGCGCACAATGCACGCATGCACACACAATAACCACAGATCACATCAGCATAGAGCGACTGAAAGGCAGGATCAACAGAAACAATGGAAACCCCTAGGCGTGCTTTCTCGCCACAGCACAACATTCCAATGAAGTTCTACAACTAAGGAAGCTAACTTTAAAGCAATAGAAGCTGCATGGCAATGCATAGTGCCGAGCTCCATGCAAGGCTCTCGTGGCAATGGAAAAACAATTGAATCAATGCGATATCAAATGCAATGTCAATGAGCAGCAGCGCACTTGGAAAGCCTGCAGAGCCTTTTACAGCCTTGTCGTCTCTTTGGGAGAGCAGCAGCGCATGTACTTTTCTAAAGCAGCAGCCTAAGAAGAGAGAGAGAGATAGAGAGAGAGAGATAGATAGATAGAGAGAGAGAGAATGCCAATGCATCATGGCCGCAACACTAACCGGAAGACGGGTCGTTTAGGAAGACCAGCGTGGGAATAGGTGCATATGAGATAGGGCCATACACCGACGCAACGACTGTTGTTCCGTTTGGCAAGAAACGTTCAGACTAGAAAAAGACACAAGAACAAGTAGTGCACATACTGCATGTACAGTATTTAAAGAGCGTATGCACATGCATCTGAAGACAAAATGAGTCGAGAGTGCTACTACGTACCCCTTATTCTCTTACTGGCATGTACAACAGTGCTTCACACAAGGTCCAGTGGAAGAAAATCAGTGCGGCTCGGCTCTACTCAACGTTTCATGCAGCTATGCAACCATCAGGAAAGTGAACAGTAGGCCATGGTACTTCGAAGTACACTATACTCTACAAAGAAAGTAATACACCTTGGCGCCTAGCATCCAATGAAGCTTCATAGATATTCGGAGCAGACAGACATGATACATAACATGTCGCACATGAAACACTCGCCCATGGTGTTTGATCATTCACCGCACTTTAAAAAAAGTTCCCAAGCAAGGCAATCATGTACATGGACACAGCATACCTTGTGCTTATTCCCTGACGTGTGCTGAGAGAAGATGGCCGATGCCGAGAAGCGCCTCCATCCGCAATGGAAGATGAGGTTATCCTGTGCATCGGGTACAGGATAGGTGCAGCATAAGAGCAGAGATACAACTACATATCAAGAAGGCCAGGTGGCAAATGCATCCACAAGACATAAATGACAACAACAACAACAACAACAACAACAACAACAACAACAACAATAACAACAACAACAACAACTCTTATTGGCGATGGTGCCATCGTGAGAATAAAGAATTCAAAAAACAACAACCATCGTGAGAATAGAAGATTTTAAACAGATTTCAAACAACAGCAGCAGCAGCACCATCAACAGTGCCCGTACCTCCGACTGAATTGAGAGAGCACAGCTTGGGTGCTTGGTCAAGCTAAAGTTCAGCACCGACATCTGGAATAAAGAAGAGAAAGCGGTCATTATTTGCAATTTTACATCCAAGAAACTTGATGGCAATACAAGTCCAAGCGTGAACCTCACGACCAAAGGTATATATAAACTCAAAAACTCTACACGTTTGTCAACTGACTATCCTCGGGGACAGCATATCATTGATCCCTGAAATCACAATGACCATAAAGTCAACAAACAACTACAAACCAGGCCATGGGTGGTCTCTCAGAAGAAAGGGGACCCCTGAACAGTGGTTTCACGCCAAGTACAAACAATTCTGTTATGTAGCTTCTACATACATGCACCTATAGGCACGTGCTATACACTTGACCTGTTGCGTACAATGCTAAGCAAGCACCATATCAACCTGCCACTGCATTGTTATCACTACTTCATCATTGCTGGTACAGCTACTCTCAGGCAAAGGAACCCATGTAGCGTATCTACCTCTGCGGAGCTGGGTCAGCCACAACGGACACAGCACTCCATACTCCACAGATGACAGTAGTCTTTACAGCTCTTTCTATCTTGCACTGTGGCAAGGCAAGCTTCTTCCTAGCACCTAGCACACTGCGAAGCTGATGCAGTCAATCAAAACTGGCCTGGGCAATCCAATACAAAGAAGGCATACCAATGGCAAGCTGCTGCACTCTTTCATGTCTCCACTGCTAAAACGGTTGGGTGAGTGCAAAACAGATCCAGTCAAAGCCTGACCAGCTGCAGCTATTTAGTTTGACATATGCAAAGAACACTGAACTGTCTACACTGTTGTGCTGTGGATGCCAGTACCTTGTGCTCATGTTGCAAGAGGCCAAACACGACAAGGGGAACGTCATTCTGAATGCCCGCTGTGCAAATACAGACGTAGCAAGCAAAGAGACAAGAACAACAAGAGAGTACACAAGTGGCAAAGCAGCAAATAAAGACACTCCCACCAGCACCACCAACATGCCTGCAATCATGCTCAAGTGGAGTGCACCACTCTGAACAGAAGCACACATCTCTGCAATCATGTATGTGTGGTAAATGAAATTCCAGTCGGGAGCTGTATGTCCCTGGGTTGGTTACGTCATAACAATACTTGAGCAGTGATTTGGCCAACATCAAGAATTCTCTTATCAGCAAATCCAAAGCAGAATTTCACTTGCCACAACTGTACAATTCCAAGGTCACAAACGAATGAGTAAAAATTGAAACAAAACAAAAAGAGAAGAAACACACGAGATGGCATTTTTACATTTATTACTGGCTCAGTATCCAAAACAAAAAGAAAAACAAAAAACAAGATGTCGGTAGAGAATAAAAACACTCACCAGAGATGTCACTGGGTACGTTGATAAGGTGCAGTGTTACATACCAGCTTGGCTGTATATCAATAAACAACACACACACAACACAATACAATATCACACAGGGGCTAGTTCATCACAGAGGGAAAGCAATGAAAGCTTCCTTCTGATGTACAGTAATTTCGTTTCTATCCCGAGATGAAATGAGAGCAATTGTGGAGAAAAGAAGCAGGGCTTCCAAAAGGTCATGGCATAACAAACTGCGCATGGGCATTGCATGAAGCCATGCTTGGAGCATGTGGTGAAGTCGGGGATGTTGACAGCAACTGCAATCGTGTACAGATACAGCGGCTGAGGTGAAGCCGTAAGGGATCCCAGTGAAGGATCACTGAGTGTTTCTCAAACAGAATCGTTTGTGCTGGAACTGCCTGAAGAGCGTTCGGCGCCAGTCGGAGTAGGGATGCAAAGGATGTGGCAAAAAACACCGCAGCCATTGGCAACAATGCCTCGAGTCAGAAGAAAGGCTCAAGCAGCAAAAGCAGAGGCATGCCTGAGGGAGGGGAGTGGGAGTGTGTGTATAAATACACACACACACACAAACACACATGCACGCCTGAGGAAGGGGAGGGGGAGTGTGTATGTTCATACGTATAAACTATACACACACATGCACACTTGTGATTCGGACAGCACAACAATACACACCAATGCTCCTTCCGAAGACTCCTCTTTCAATGCCGTTTTCTTCAGCGCGGCGTAGTTCTGGAACTGAAAGATTCTAAACAAACGGAGAATACAAGTCGAAGCAAGGCATAGCAAGCACACGCAATTAGAATTGGCAGTGAAGAAGCAATAAGCCTTTTGCGCGTTGTACATTTGTACGAAGTTCAGTACTAGGGCGTAGGTGTGTACAGAACCGATTGGGTGTTCATTGTGTGCTATGCATGCGCAATTGACCAATTTTAGCCTCATAATTAAGAGCAGACAATCCCTATTCCAGCTTCTTCACTTTGGTTAGAACTAATGACTACCTAGATCTTTGTCAGAAAAGGTTTTCGTTTGAAATGCCTTCAGAGCCCATTTCTTAGTGGAAATAGCAGAAAACACAATAGGGTCCTGCACATTCAACACCCATTAGGTTCTACGGTATTCTACGGGATTTCAACCTCCTGAACGAAGTAGCTATTGTGAAGGTATGTGAAAATGCAGGACAGTTCAGGCTCACCAGAAGCGGTCCGATCATTCAGGTCGTCGCTGGACCAACCTTTTACGTCTGAGGAGGTCATGCATACCTGCCATATCCTACACAAACTGTATGAATGGTCATGGTACGGCCGGACCAATCAAAAACTCCTCAAGTTATGGAAGTGGTGCACCTTTGTGCCAGTGAGAAAAGGAAAGAAATGAACAAATCCAGGAGCCTGGAGACCCACACGTGCTAGTGTGTACAGCATTCAAACACAACAAGCAAGCACTGTAGCAGTCTTCCCACACCACAGTGCTTCATACTCGACAACCTCTCAAATTACCGTCGGTAATTTGCTGGAAGACCTTCTGTCGCATCCCACGGTGAACTGCGGAAGCTTTCCAGACCACGGTACCTGCATGACAAGCAAAGAGACACGCACAGGACATGCAACCTTTACAAACACACAGGCAGAACTCACAGCGATTTTCAACAAAAGATGCTCAGGTACATGTACAGTGATGAGCGCACCACGAGAACTTCACGGCAAAGATGAGAGAGGCATAGAAGGGTTCGAGTTGACAAGGGGTCGACTTACGCTCCAAAGTGTATCCTGGCAGGGATATTCTGGGGAGTATCCACTTCATCTGGGTACATTTCTTCGTCGCGCTGAGCTTGAATACGCTTCAGCCTAGACACACGGGTAACATAACATCAAGCACAAGCAATACATAATAAATATATGCTGCATGGGGTGTGGACGTCTTGTCTGAGATGCTGCCCTCATCTGCTTGTCTTCTAAAGCAAAGTCAGATCCAACACACATCCTGTAGCATAAACTAGTTACTTAGCCACACCACTACTGAAGAGTACGACCAGAAAACAATAGTACGAGAATACAGTATGGTACAGCATACAGACTGATAAAAAACTGGATCAAAGTTATCAGCTTACTGATCTTCCTCTTCAGCAAAGTCCATGTTTGTATCGTACTCATCACCATCCTCGCTGCCATCATCTTCTTCATACTCACTCTGCAAAAGCACACACACACACCCACACCCACATGAAGTAACGCACATGAATCCACTTGCACTGACTTGGCATGTAGAGAACTTCAGAAAGCATGAGATTGTGCTGGAGAGTATGACACCTTGCAGAGTGCTGTCAAAGCAAGGCCCGAGTGTAGCTGAGCATGTAGTGAGGAGACATGTACAAGTGCACACAAGCAACTACAGAATAAGAGCTGGATCACTTGTACTTGAAGTACATGAACACATCATGGTCAGTGAAACCAGACCATGCGGCCATTTCTGCATGTCGATTCAAGCAGCCCTTGATGCCCTGAAGCTGCGCTACCCAGCTTAGTTGACGCACACACCGTGCAGCTTGCAATGCTGTTCTCAAATGAGTGAGTGGATTTCATTGGCCAATACTACAACACGCAGTTGCTCTACTCACCCCATCACTGCCATCATCGCTTCCATCCTACGTAAAGCATATAGCATGTACGCACACCCACCCACACACCCACATACACACACACACGCATGAACCCACACCCACACCCACACCAAGACACAAAGCTGAGCAGAATCAAGGTCCTGAACCAAGAAAACCAGCAATCATGAACAGAAGAAGAAGCAGCAGCAGCAGCAGCAACGGCGGCCTCGGCAGTAGCAGCAGGATTATCAGACTAACTTAGTGACTACTAGGCACTGCATCAATTCAGTATGATCCGAAAGATAGCATGATGATCAGTATCACTGCCACAGTTCACATGGCATTGCACTTACGCAGTCTTCCCAACCACCTTCATCATCACTACCCTCCATCATGGGCATACTGCTTGGAGGGTACTGTGCAGCAACAGACACACAGTGACAGCACACACATCATAGTCAGATACAGCATTAAAACTCAGATCAGGTGCCAGTGTAAAGAAGCGAATACCGCCCAGACATACCACTGGAAAATATCATAGATACATGACAACTACCACATGCAAAAAGAAGGTTCACGGGGCCAACGAATCACATGTTTCAGCGTACATACACGACATATCCACACCTGCTTCTCGTGACACATGCATGGCTAAATAGCTATGGTGTATATACGTAAGCTACACAGCTGGCCAAGAAAGATGATCCACATCTCTGGAGGACTGGCAAGAGATTTACCTCAGCAGCCGGTGCTCCATCTGCATCACTGCCATCATCGACGTCGTCATCTTCACCAGCGCCACCGCCACCGCCCATGATCCAGGCAGCTTGGTAATCCGATGTACCCTTGGGAAGGGACCTCTTCTTTTTCCGCTCACCTACAGGAAGTCATAGCATAAACCAGCACGTGAACAAACAACTCTAATCATATCACAGTTGAATACAGTATGCACACCAACAACACACAAGAGGACAATCAAGCACACATACATGCATTAGTGCAATTTCGTACCCGCATGTATACCGCAGTGTACTAGCAGTGTGCATACATGGGGGACATGATGGCTAGTCTTACTCTGTGCTATTGCAATCTCTTCCTCTGTCGGCCATGACTGTTCTTCATCTAGCTCATCATCGCTGACAGGAGCCTGCTCAGCTAGCAAAGGCACCTGCTCAGCCAGACATACATACACACGTACGCATGCACACAGACCAGAACACGTACACAAGCACAAACGCAAGCATACGCAAGCATGCACACACACATACACACACACACACGCACCCACGCACCCACACACCCATACCAACACACACACGCACACACAAACAGTTGAAACACACAACCATTTCTTGAGAATATGTCATTATGACCACAAAAGAACCTGTTCTGCTCTTCGTGCATGCAAAGAAATCACTTGGAAGGTGTACTGGACATTTCCCGTTCTAAATTTGGCATCTTTCTTGGTAATTTCGAATGATACGCAGCAGCAGAACCTCTCTATTACTACACAATACACACGAAAATACACAGATACCACTTTGGGTATAACTATTCCCTAGCCCTTGGGGTCCCTGGTGTTTCGTGGCCCTCTTGTACTATAGTTACATTTGCACCCTTTGCTTGCCTTCGATATAATTCTGTTACTTTCTGTACCTCTCTTCACTCGGATGATCTGTTAGAAACCAGTAAACCTGGTCAGTTGAAAAATGAAACTTGTGTATTGAAGAACTCGTGTCGGACACCTCCTCCGTAATAATTTCTGCATTGTTCTCTTCCAGGCAGGAATGGTACTATTTTCGTTATCACGAGAAGCAAAGCAAACTCACCTGCTGTTCTGGATCTGCTCTCTGTATGGTCCGTGTAGTTTCCTCTTCTGCCATGCCAGGATCCTGAAAAGTAAGTACCAAGATTGACGGGAAACGAGAGATCTAGAGAATGATCCTCAGAATAATTAATTACCATTGTTAATTGTACATTACATTTGCATGTACATGGCTACAATGTACATGTATGTACAATAGTACAAAGGCTACTGCTCCAGTGGCACATTAGGACGGTGAAGGGCAACAACAAGGAAGACAGCAGCAGCAGCAGCCACAATATTCACTACATGCATGGCAGCACCCACATACCATCTCCATGGAGACTTCTGAAGATACACTGTTGGCGCGACTTCGATGTAAGTGCTGCCGCTGTAGTCTTTGCCATTGTCGGTCAGTGCACGGGTCTGGCACGAGGTCGATGTGCGACAGCTGGTAGTCACCAAAACCAACCAGATGAACAAGCTGGTTGGCGTCGAATGTCTTGCCTCTCACATAACCACTGACCTGCAGACATCCCCTTGTTGAACTCTGCACACAAGAGAAGAACGCATGCAGGCAAGGATGTTGAATAAGGGGCCAGCCGGCATTATCGATAATTTTCACGGAGCTTAACAGTTTAGTTACACCCCCGCCCCCATGATACTGAAAACGTTACAGCACGGGCAGAGAAATGGCTTGGAGGATGAACAGGGGGCGGAATACTTGCCATTAATTTGCAAAAAAAGTAGAAACAAACAGGTAAAACAATAAAAAAATTCGTCGAACAAATACACGCTAACTTTGTAACATATAGAAAGATACGAGTACATAGCACAATAAACAGATATGCTAGCTATGCAATCGCAAGGACGTCACTAACCGCATCATCAGTGGACGGCACATAGTTGACCTCCTCTGCTAGCAAGGCGGGTCTCTGATCACGGAAGGTGATGTGATGCACTTTCCGGTCGGAAACGCTACGAAGTAAATTGGCAGCATCCTGTGAACACGGAATAGCAGCACACCATACACATGTATACAAAGTGCAAGAGAGGACAGACACACCAACATGGCCCATTACCACCCGTCATTTACCAGCTAAAGCAATATCGGCAGCTGATACATGATGCGTGGCAGAGGCTCCTCTGTCAACTCCAAAATCCATATCAATAGTTGTGAGACAACAAGGATACAGGTTCCCCAAACCCTGCTATATGTACTGGTAACTCCCGCCACAGCCTAATGATACAGAAAGACAGAAATCATGTGTACTTACAGCATCCGTATCCATATTCATCAGCTTCTCCTTGGGAAACCTAAGCAACAGCGATGGGACAAAGAGCATTTCAAAATTGGCTGCCAAGCAGAGGACATCACAAGAAGGAGAGTGGTGACAAAGTCATTGTGGTGAATTTCTGCTCTATGTTACCAGAACGCGACGCAAAGAATGCCGGGAACACTCCCAACGTAACGTATAGGACACCTGTTCTTCTCTATCTTCACGTAAAGAAATCAAATGGAATGAGTGCTGGACATTTCCCGTTTCAAATTTAGGCAGATTTCTCCCTGGTACCCAGCAGATCCGTACGCATTTTCTTTGCATGAGCCACAATATAGAGAAACTAATCTCCTCGTAGAAATCTGGACCCAAACACTTGAAGCCGTAGACTCTAACCCAGACACCTGTTCACTACATGATTGCTCTACGTTTTTCGTGTAGAGCAGAAGCTCACTATTGGCCAGCAAAACTTACCGCTGCGAGACGAGTGACTCCACAGCCTTTCTAGCTTTGGACCTCCTCTTCTGAGGAACATTATCCAGTCCCTACAAGACAAGATCAAGCAACAGACATGACTCAATAACACCCACACCCCACACCCACCTATCCACCCACCAACACAGTGCAGTTGAAAAGCACCAAAAAATGCCGAAAGGCCATTAAACTCACTGATGCACCGGCCTGGCAAAGAGTGATGAAGCACACCGGATTACAAAAACCCTCCCAAGGCTGAACAGTGGTATACTTGCACGATTGGTCCTTGATTGATTCTTCGCAGTCAGTTCAATGCGCACAATCATGTATGTGTATTTAGTGTTGCCTGAGGATGATTGCTTAGCTTGAATCTTGGAATTGCAACACATCGCTCTGACTTCTGTGTATGCTGTACATGTACATGACTAATGATTAATGAACATGCACAATGGTTGAAGTTTTTTAAAGTTTTAAAAGAAAGCATATCTGTACAGAAGTGTAGACTACTCGCACTAACCTGAACTGCGAATGTGCATGCTGGCACACCTTGAGCAATCAAACAACTCAGACATGTCTCCGCATAGGAGCTCAGCTTACAGCAGTCAGCATGCAGCACGAAAAGAATGGTGTCGGCAACCTACACAAAGCACACGTACGGTGAAGCATTAGACATAATACCTCGCCAGCCAGGGCCGAAACCTACTAGAGACCTATTGAAGGCATCTTGTCATGTCTGTGCAAGCTGGTGGTGGTGATGTTCTTCGCACATTCTCATCAGCCAGCTCGAACTGAATAGCACAGTAACACACTGCTTAAAATCCTTACAACACCAACACGTAAACAATACGTTCATGTGCAAAGCTATTGAAAGAATAGGAACTTTCATTCCAGGTAGCAATTTCCAGCAAAGAGCGAAGCCATGGTGTATATTGAGTACATGCACTGTGACTCACCTTGCCTGCATCCAGTAGTGCATAGAGATTACCAGGTGGACAGTGCATGAAACTGAAGCGTCTCTTCAGCCGTGGAATTCTGAACAACCCGAGAAAGCACACAGGCATACTGTCATGAATAAACTGCTGCGCAAGTACTGCATATGACATTCTGCAGTAAAGGTAACTCAAGTCAATAGGTGTCACCATTGTACACACCCGCCCTGCCCTCTTCCATACCATGGATCTAGCATCAAGTGACAGTACATGTATGTAGTCATCATCATTTTCATGTGGTGCAAACAATATGGATGATCAGAATTTCTGGGTTGCAAGTTTCCCAAGATCACCATTGGAGCAAATTGCCAACCATTCTCCTCCATAGCCTATGCATTGGGCCAACGTACTCCTGGAGAAACGTTTGAAAACAGTTACCTTGAACTTACACAGCAGTAGCAACGTATGGCCGCCGTTCAGTGGCAACCGTGTCCGGGTCACTGGAACACAACCTTCGAATAACATCACCGCCATCCACACGGCTGTCCAACGGAACTACAAGCTAGAAGCGAGCAAAAAAGAATGAGACCAGGGAACGGGTTGTTGACTTGTACCTACAGGATACAGCAACTCATCTCACTTCACTGACAAAGACGTTAAAATTACTAGTAAGATGCCAAGTGAACAGTTTCCTCGGGGACAGTAATACCGAGAAGTAGGACACACTTCAGGCTCTTGAATAACATCTTGAAATGTTCACTAGTATTTGGTATGTATACCAAGATACCAAGTAAGTGTATAACAATAACCGAGGAGCAGAGGAGGTTCGAGACAAAGTGGACCACTTCCCAATAATACTCATCGTGACCATGGTGAACTACAATGGACAAAGTGTGTTGCATGCCAATCTCCAGTCCTCACATACCTAATGAGTATAAGAGTCAATGATATTAGTTATAGGCAGGATCATCCACAAGTAAACAAGCTTCATGTACGAAATCACAGCTTACTGTCTAGCCATGTTACACTGCATCACGGACGAAAATGCATTCGCATTTTAAAAGCTTCTTTTCCCTTACCACAGCATGAGGAGGTGCATCACAGACACCACGGCCTCGCCTCTCTGTCAGCAAAGCATCGCGCTTCAGGCGCCGGATTTGCTTCAACTGTGAGCCAGGTGAACACACAGACACCAACACGCATGCACACAGACACACATGCACACAAACACACATGTCTCACGTGTGAGTATGCACACACACACACACACACACACACACACACACACACACACACACACACACACACACGCACACACATGCACACACATGCGCACACACACGTGCACACACACACACACATGCGCGCACACACAAACAAAACACGTGTCATACTGCGGTAGAGGCCCTGAGCCAGCTCCTGAGGAGTGGTGCAGCCGCAGGTCACTTACAGGGTCGATCACTTCCCCACACCCAATTTCAGTACCATCGGAGGATGGTACTACCTCTGTCAGACGACGATGATTCATGGACACTGGTCTCATCAACCAAGCCCCGATGTGCAAAGAAGGTGTACTTTGCAGGTAACCTCAAGGCAGGTACCACGGAAGAGGAGCTCACCTCCTACATACAGAAATGAGTGGCCACTACCGGGTGCCAGCTGGCTGTTCATGCAGCCAGACCATTCCAGCAAGATCATAGCGGCCGCCCTCTTGAGCTTGTATCTGCGCACATCATGATCAACTCCACCGACAGCCAATACCTACTCTCACAACACTTCTGGCCAGGACGTGTTTACTGCCGTCCATGGAAATTTGACACGGTCTCCCAGCCGGAGGAGAGATCATCCACTGGTACTGGGTAACTGGGGCCATCATTTGCGTGATTACATCGTGGCAAAGAAAGCAGCAACTCGACCAACATCAGCCGGTTCTGTATAGTCACGCATGAGTGCATCGCCACCCACGAACGCCAGCACTGGCGACAAGCAACCAGTACAGACTTTGGCAGTTTCCGTCAAAAACCGCAACGTGCCAAATGAAAGTCACTACACCGATGAATGCCAAAAGTACAAAACTGTAGAAACCAGACGCCAGCCAATCCAGGGTCGGTGTTTCATTTGTTTCCGTGACAACCACATGGCTCCAGATTGTCCCAACCCCTGGGCTTGTGCGCACTGCCAAAAGAAAACTCACCACCGCAGTCTGTATCCTACCAAGTTTGGCACCGGCCAACCAAAACAACAACAACTATCACAACAAACAACCAAAGCACACACAAGTGTCACAGCTACCGGTACTACATGTAACAGCCAGCAACAAGATAGAGTCATCTTCCAAACTGCCGTTGCAACTATTGGTGGTGATACCACTACCCAGCCTGCGAGGCGCCGGTATGATACTGGGTCGTCGCAGTCGTTCATCACGCATGATGCACAGCAGGCGCTTATAAAACGCGCTGCAAATGGTTCCGAAAACATTGCCATGGCTAGGTTTGGTGACAGTACGCGCAATGTTGTCTGTCTCCCGTGCGTGCAGCTCACTGTCGGGTGTGCCGATGGCTCCACTGTTACAGTCCCAGCAAACGTAGTCGACAACATCACATTTAATATACAACGCTTTCCTCTCGACTACAACAAATATCCTGCTCTGAATTCGGTGAATCTTGCTGAGCCCATGCCTCTTGAAACAGAGAGCGTGGTTGTCCACGTTTTGATTGGAAATGATCACTACCATCAACTCATTGGCCCTCAAGTCTTACCTATTACCGATAATCTCGTGCCTGTCGAAACCAAGTTTGGGCTATATTCCGTCTGGCAAAGTGTTTGGTGAATCGTGTGTCGCGGTCGCAGCTCGTCACAGATGTCGCATGTCACGTCGCAAAAAGTCGTATTGTGAATCGGCCTTACCTCTTACCCCATCGATCACATCAAACCCCACAAAAATCAGTTTTACATAAAAACACTGGGTGTACAGAAAACTACCGCAAAGTGCATTTTAGGAGAAGAGCCACATGCCTACAATAGAACCAGCTCAATGCATACTACTTGCGCTTGCCAGCAATGTTACGGCAAAGAACTTTGAAAGAAGCAAACTCATTCGTACATGGCTAATATGAGCATAACGGACTACGATACCTGATTGCGTTTTTGAAGTCTGGATAGCTCTGTGTTGCCTTTCTTTGCCAAACTCTTAGCACTGACACGTCCTGCAGTTGAGCACGCATGAACAAAAGCACAAAAGGATCATCATTACAGAATGCACTTGCTGTGCATAAGGTACCGAAGTTCACATGTGTTATGCCCTGGGTCTGGCTACTTTGTTAGCCTCATAAAACCGTGTACGAAGAGGTGGTCAAGGGTCAGAGATGTTGTCCACTGTGAGCACAAGAGTCTTGTTTTCTGTTTTGTTTGTTTCTTATTGGTGCTGTTCTCTTCAATTTCATTCTACATTGCTTCTCCATATTTTATCTTCCTGCCCCATGTTCTCCTTCCTCACAAAGTACATTCAGCTGCTTGCAAGGTGAGCATACCCAGCTTGATGCAGGCAACCGAAGTTGGTAACGGTATGTGCATTCCACCGCTTGTCTATCTCCCTCTGAGATGTTAGCTGTCTGATATGTGGTGTAAGGCACCACTTGGTCTCTCCAGCACACTTTGCAAGGAGTGTACTCGACAGACAAAAGGGAGGGGGGGGGGGGGAGAGACAACTATGGAGTGGACTTGACATAGAACTAACCGGCAGTGTTCATTTCTTCACCCTTGCTCCATCTATCTTCCCTTTCTTCTGCTGTATTCCCATACCACCAATGTGCCTGCTCCCTCAAATTCAACTCCAATGGCGTACATGTACTGCAACATCATTGAAGCCGAGACCTCCAGTTGAATGGGACAGTACAATGTACATGACTGCAGTGATCATCACTGTCCTACTGCATTTACCTCTCCTATGCGGGCTGACTGTGCTAAATTTGTCGTTCCTTCGTAAATATATCTAAACTACGTGCAGTTCGCCCAGTGAACACTAAAACTGTCCTTTGAGTTAGACCATCAAATAAAAATGTGCAACGAACATTACGAGCATGCAGTCTATGAATAGCAATTACATTTTAAAACAACTTATAATAACGGTCGTAAAATAGCAATGAAAACTATCAATTGTGCACTCATAACCATGTATATAAACAATTACAATGAAACAATTCCAGAACGTTTTCGTGTGACTATCATCCCGTTCTGGAATTGTTTCATTTTAATTGTTTATATACATGGTTATGAGTGCACAATTGATATTTTTCATTGCTATTTTACGACTGTTGTCTCCTCGTCGGTTATTTATAATAACGGTGTTGATCGAACTATGTGAAACGCACAGCAAATACAATGACATAGGAGACAATGAAAAACTGTACATGTACCAGTAAAAAAAACAGAACAAGGAGTACGAACTACGAACCTTTCACAGATGTTTCCACTGCACCCTTTGACCGATGCTTTCCAGTCTTGTGAGACTTATTCTGCTGCTTCAGCGAGCCTGGTTTGTGTGCCGAAGACATGATTGACGACAACCAAAGGCCTACAGGCACCAACTAGAGATCAGACATGACTGCAAATTCAAAGAGGAACACGAAAATGTTCAGGAATAATTATTATTTCTGGAGTCAAAACTCCAAGCTGATTTGCACGTTTCTCGACTCCATATCTGTTGCCCTTGGTGATACCTTTCGGGATTTCCCCGATGTGTAATCGTTCAAGTTTCAAATCGAAATGCAACATCGTGAAGGTATAAAAATAAGCAACGAAGCCGTAGATGTACCACAACTTCGTCGTTTGGAAAGGCGAAGCCATACCGAATAAAACAATTGTGCTGTCCATGCTTCTGTAGACGTACTACTGTTCTCTGTGAGCATGGCCGAAGGAAGAAGAAAGGGTCCCATGGAACATAAGAAAACTCCGAAAAAACCTGCTGGAGAGCAGGTACATCGGGCTGCACAACGAACTCCTGTTGCTGAGCCTATCTTTGTGGAATATCTGTCACCAGCCGTGCTAGAGACAGGCCTCAAGAAGAGCGACGATGATGAAGATAGGATTTGGAGTGGTGAAATTCGTGTAAACTCGAAGAACTACCGTGAGGCCTTTGTTACAGATCCAGAGGGTGGAGTTGACATCTTGTTTCCTTCCTTGGAGGCAAGAAATCGTGCACTGGATGGCGATGTGGTGGCCTTTAAATACTACCCTAGTGCTGTATTTCAAACCGTGGAAAAAAAGCTGAGTTCCATGAAGATTAGTGCGGATGGCTCTAAAGTTCACACCGACACAACTGAGTTTCTTCAGAAGCGTGCTCATGTTGTTGGGATAATTGAGCCGCGCCACACTCGCAGGGCGATTGGTATCATTACACAGTATGACAAGGCCACAAAGACCGCACGTCTATCACCAATTGACCACCGTATACCACGCATCTCCTTACCGTTAGAGCAATGTCCGGATGATCTGACGAGAAGCTTCTCCAAGTATAAAAGCATGCTTTTCTCGGCACGTATCCTGGACTGGCCTGCGGTGTCGGATGTCGCAAACGGTGAAATGATCAATCAACTTGGTGTGCGAGGTGACTTGGCTGTGGAATCAGCAGCCATTTTGGAATTCCAGTGCATAAATGACCAAGATTTTGCAGAGGATGTGGTAGCATGTCTGCCCGATGACACGTACACCATAGCTGATGAGGATCTGTCCAAGCGCCGCGATCTTCGGCAAGATCTTTGCTTCACGATTGACCCAGACACAGCTCGAGACATGGATGATGCCATTCATTGCAAGGCACTCGAAGATGGAAATGTGGAAGTGGGTGTTCACATTGCTGATGTTACACACTTTGTCAAGGCCGGGACACCGCTGGATGCAGAGGCGGCAGTGCGTTGTACAAGTACATATTTGGTGGAGAGAATGGTCCCCATGTTGCCACACCAGCTGTCCAGTGACCTCTGCAGCCTGCGTGCGCACGAAGATCGACTAGCAGTGTCAGTGGTCTGGAAGCTCTCGCCAAAAGCTACAATCCTTGACGAATGGATGGGCCGTAGTGTTATCCACTCCCGTGCAAAGCTTAGTTATCGTGTGGCACAGGAGGTTCTGGATGATCCTGAAAAGGAGTGGACTGCAGAGTACTTGGGCACGGATGAGAAGAATGTTCGCCCAATCTGCGAAGCGCTGTGTTTGGTTTCTGACGTTACGAAGCGCCTTCGAGAGCGACGAGCAGAGAAAGGCTTCCTCGCTATCCGCAACAATGACAGGCTGTCTTTTGCACTGGATGACAAATCTCCTATCGGCTGCCAGCCACCAAGCAGTTATGGTACGCAGCGTCTGATTGAGGAACTCATGCTGCTAGCTAACATCTCTGTGGCAGGTGAGTTGCATCGCAGGCGTCCCAACACTGCTGTACTGCGCAAGCACCCTGCTCCTTTTCCGCTGAAGCTGCAGGAAATGGAGACATTTGCCAGGCAAGTTGGACTGCAGTTTGATTGCTCATCTGTCCAGGCTCTACAGAAGAGCTTGAGTGAGATTCCGGATGGCGCTGGTGAGGCAGGTATGCATCGGCTAGTGATATGTCAGAAGCTCCTGCAAGCATTCAAGCCTGCAATGTATTACACACTTGCAGCTGCGCCAACGGAAGGCTGGTCTCAGCCCCACTATGCGCTGAATGAAGTGTTGTACACACACTTCACGTCTCCGATTCGCCGTTATGCGGATGTTCTTGTTCACCGTCAGTTACTTGCTTATCTTGATGGCATACCTGAGGTGGAGATGAGCGAAAAGGATCAGCTTATGGCAGTTGTATCTCGATGTAATGAGATGCGTATGAGGGCGCGCAATGCCGGTGAGGACAGCAACACACTCTACTTTGCTGCGTTTGTTCGCCATGCGGGACCGCTGGTTGAGGAGGCAGTGATCACCGACGTGCTTGATCGTAGTGTGGATTTGATGCTACTAACATATCCCGGTGCCTTTCGCGTCCACTGCAATAGTCTGCCTTTGAGTGAGTTTACCTTCTCTCCTGATGGTCCATCACTTACTGTACACTGGAAGGCTGCTGATGGCGGCGGCAGAGATGAGAGTCCAGCTGCGGCAGCGGCTGCCAGGTCTCAGCCCGGTGACGGTGTGATGCAGCTGCGCCTGTTTATGAAGGTGAAAGTTGTTGTCAGGTGCGAGGAGCGACAAGGCAACCCGCTGTGTGTAGCTGTGTACCTGCAGGCACCAGCGGGTTGCTCCACCGAGTATGGCCGTCCACCTGATGCACATGCCCATGCCGTCATGCCAGGCAAGAAAGGCAAAGGACACAAGTAACACATTGTTGCAGGCACATAGAGCCATCAGCTTGTTTCTCCGATCCATCTGTAACTGGTGGTCGAGGATTGAAACGATGTGGATATGCACTACATTGCTGTTCTCAAAGACAAAGCAACATCACTAGCTGCATACCATGCTGGCAACGTGATCCTTTTGAAGCTCTCATTTTCGAATTTTTAGAAACATTTCTGTGAAATACCCACCGCATGCAGTCACATACTCCGTTCAAATTCTACAATACACACTTCAGATGTAGTGTATGATTGTGTTTCATATCTGAGGCATAATCTGAATGATAGGGCAACGATGACAGGATGAATACAGTCAACACCCCAATAAGAACATATGTAGGCTAGAACTTAGAACCTTGCAATAGTATGAAATAATTTACATGTACTGTATCATGCAAATCACTTTTTTAAATTCACAAATCGAAGCTCTATATGACTTGTAGTTGAGCATTTGCTCGTCTATTTTATGGTTTTACACGCTGTATGTGCAATGTTCTGTCTTGTAGCAATGCGGCAGGTCATTATTATTCTTGGGCTTGTCCCTACATCTTCCTGCTCAGGACAAGTCTGCTCTGGCAGGGCCGACTCTTGTCAACTCAACGCATCGCCTTCGTTTTGTTGCATGACGGTGTTCTAGAGTGAAACTCATATGTTAGCAGTGGTATTGAGTCTATTGACTATTGAGCAATTGGCGCCTGCCTGTGCCTTGTATCCTTTTCAGCTGTTGAAGATGGAGTACATACTGTTTGGGTCGCACAATACCCCGTAGTTCATGATATGTCCACATGCATGAGAGCATGGTTGAACATATCGATAATGGTCAAACGGAGCTTAGCAGTGTGTGTGGCACATCATTTATAGGGAGTGTAAAGGCTCAGTGCTGCTATAACCCGAAGTTAGCCGGGATGCTTCCCAATACTGATCCACGCATAGTGTCGCCATTGCAGACAATAAGTCAGATTTCTGGCTGGCGGAGTCTTGACTCCTTGTCAGCATTCTTTGCGTGCTCCTGCAAACGAGCCATCATTTTCGTCTGGTATTTCTCCGGTGTCTCAGCATTGCCAGTCATCCAATAGTACAAATCCCATTCATTATTAGCACCTTCGTTGATGATGTGATCATAGTCATTCAGCTCATCTGCACTCATCTTCGCCAAGTATTTGGAAGCAAACGTTCCCAGCAGCAAATCGTTCTCCAGGATGCCACGCTTTCTACTCTGATAGAGCAAACGCGAGCGCTTCTGCTCAACACTCTCGCCAGGCCTTTCCACAAATCGTGTGGCACTTGATGAAACTTGCTGGCTCATGCAGCGTTGCTGAGGCATACATCTAGATGTGCGTAGTAAGGAGAATGCTGCTTGCCTTAGAAGAGACATGGCCACAATTCTTCTGAGTTTTCTGCTGTCTACTACAGTTTGTTCCTGTTCTTCAGCCTTTCAGGTAGTTTTTGGTTGTTCTGTGTTGGGATTTGGGAAGACTTGAAAAAGTGTTCAATCTCTTTGATCTTGCGCTTGTTTATGACGTAATAAATTGCATCATGCATGTACTTTCCTTCGGCACCATAGCAACCACTTGAAATAGTGCAGCGCGTTTTGGCACGCAAAGAAGCTGCACTGATCGGTCTTGTTTCCAGGAGTAGGTCTACGACTTACGAGTGGCTATCGCATTTTTAGGTGAGCGAATTCAGAGACAGATAGAGTGTCTCTGCGCTTTGCCTGTGGATAGTTTAGCCTTTACGCTTTAGGGTTTCCCTCAGGCAAGTCTCTGAGACACTGCGAGAGCGTCAGTATTTTGCCGAGTCAGATACACGCAACTGAAGTCCAATCGAGTCTGTGATGTCCAGACAGCCCTCACTGATTTGCTCCGGCCCGCTCTGCCTAGTCTGCTGAGTCTGACGTGTGCTCACAGAGCATGTAGGCCGCAGTGAGTACATGAGATGGTGGCTGCATGCCCGCTGCACAATGGCTGAGCGACAAGAAGATTTTGATGCAATGGATGCTCGTCTCCAAGAGCTAGCTGCAGAATCACGAGTCCTGTAAGAGAGACCATCCCTGTCTCAGTGACAGGCTCAGCCATTATTACCTTGCCATTTGCTCAGTCTTTAGTCTTTACCATTACATGTGCTGCTTATCAGCTTTAGCCATTCATACAGACATGCATTGGAAGGATGCTCCAGAAGTACAAGTAACTTATAACGGACACTAGTACTTATCACCAGACACGCACACCTAATTGACACGTCCCGCACCCGGCTGTAGAACCAGTCCAGTCACTAAAGCGTTTGTAGTCGCAACATCATGAACCTGGGCACGACTTAGTGTCCACACTATTGTATACCTCATTGGATTCAGTACTGATTCATCGTCACAATGTGGGATGACTGAAATGTAGTCGCAGCGGCGGTGGAACCGGTCCGGTTGCGGGTCAGGCCATGGTCAGACTAACTGTTA